CTTCTGCTCCAGGATGCTTGTCATAACTTATTGACCTGTATCTGTGAGGTTCAGAGCCTGTTTGCTGTAAAATCAGGATGACTGCAGTCATCTTGTTCCCAGGAGGTGGATTGTGGAATTCCTTGATTCTCGTCTCCAAGGGAAGAATTGGGACACAGTAGGGAGTCAAAGCTGCAGGGGGATTTTATGTAGCAAGGTGAAAGGAAAGCAAGCTCCAGACTCAGAGGGGCTGAGCTGAGCGTGGGTAACTGCTCCCCGGGTTTTACATTGTGCCTTTTATGGGGTTGATTCAGTTTTGACATTCTCACATTTTCAGATCATCTTGTTCTCTGCCCTTAGCCTCTGTGCAAGTTTGTGTTCATCAGTTTTCTCATGAGTATCTAAAAGAAACCCGTGACCCACGATGGGGCCAAAATCATAATGTACGTGACATAATGGTGATAGCACGACGGTCTCAGGGCCATCAGAGAGAAGGCCATCCTTAAGTGTGTAGGCTGTAAAATCAGTAAGACCCCTGCCACCAATATCTTTTGCTTATCAGTTTGTGCTCAACTGCAAAAGGGGTTGTTCTCCGGGAGACAGGGTGGTCAAAGGGTGGAAACTGTGTGGAGACTGGGTAGCCTGCAGTCCTCCTTTCTCCCCTCCTGCTCCTGTCTATCTAACTGCCTACTCAAACCATCTTAGACATTAAAATAGAAAGGCCTCACCTGAGAAAACTGTTGGGAAAGGGACATATTGATTGTTCCTGAAGAAATGCTTATCTGCACCATATGAAAAAAATAATGCAAAATGGATCAAAGACTGAGAATATAAGAGTTAAAACTATAAAACTTTACATGAAAACACAAGAGAACAGCTTCATGATATTGGGTTTGTGTTTTGCAGTAGTATTTTGGGTAGGATACCAAAAGAACAGGCAAGAAGTACAGAATAGACAAATTGGACTTTATCAAAACTAAAACTTGGTTCATGAAAGGACCCTAATAACTTAATGATAGGTAACACACAGGTTGGAAATCTGTGCAATGTTTACACAAATGTAAAATGGTGCAATCATTGTGAAAAACGTAGACAAAATTAAACCTAGAATTATCCTATTCAGCAATTCCACCTGGGAGTGTTTGCCCAAACAAATGAAAACAGAATGTCAAACATTTGTACAAAAACAGCATTATTCAAATTAGCCAAGTATGGAAATAAAGCATATATCCACCCAGGGAGGACTGGAGAAATCAAATATGGCACATTCATACTATGGAATATGATTGATCCTTTAAAGAAGAGGAAATTCTGACAGAGGCCACAACATGGATGGACCTTAAAGATATGTGAACTAACAAGGAACCAAAGGACAAATATCACAGATTTCCACTTATGTGAGGTACTTAGATGTGTCAAATTCATAGTGACAGAAGGTAGAATGGTGGGTGCCCAGGGCTGGTGGGGAGAGAAGAAAGGAGTTATTTTTAATGGTTTACAATTTGGGAAAATGGAAAAGTTCTGGAAATCGTGATGGTAATGCTTGCACAATAATTAAATTTACTGAATGCCACTGAATTGTACACATAAAAATGGATAAAAGAGACATTTTTATATTTGGACATGTTATCATTGTTAAAAAATATGACTTTCATTGTGCTTCTAGAAGGTTTTCAGTTCAACCTTAAGTGGAAATTGTTTTACATGTTTATATGAACTTTGACACCATTTTTATAAAAAAATTCAAAATGTACATATAAAAAGGCAATGGTGGAAGAGATACGGGTTTATGGGCATTGACAATTCTTTTCAACCAAGAATTATCTACTATGAATATATTTTTTATGGAATAAAAAGAACAAACATGCACAACGTTTCTGATTCATGGTCCTTAAATTCTTAATTACATAATTTTTTATATGAATATATTTTCTTTCATTTAAAACCTTTTCAGGGCGGCGGCGGCGGCGCGCGCCCCCTCCCCGGCCAGGCAATCAGCGAGCACGCGCGCCGCCGCCGCGCCCGTCCCTCCCTGCGCGCTCGCCTCGCGGCGGCGGCGGCGGCGGGAGGCCACAGCGCGCGGGGGTCTCTGCGTCCCCTCCGCCTCGCCGGGAGCTTCCACCCCCGTTTTTTTCCTAAGGCGCTGGGCAGCGCCACCCTCGGCCGGAGCCCAGCTCTGCACAAACCCCGCCTACGTTCAGTGTTCCCACTCCCCGGCCAGAGCCGCCTCGGCTTCTTTTTTTCGTCCCCCCGCCTCCGCCCCCGCCGCTGCATCCATTTCCTTAAGGTTTTTTTTTTTCTCTCTCCCTCCCCCACACCGGAGCGGCGGGCGAGGGGCCGGGCGGGCGGCCGAGGGGGGCAGCTCGGACTTAGCTGGATGAACCTTCGCTGCTGGCCGTGGAAAGCTGGAGCAGCATTTTACTAAGAAAGAACGTCACCAAGACGGCCAGTGATAGGCAGAGGTCCATGATGAGAGCCCAGCACCAGCAGCGGTAGTTCAGACGGAGACCAGCGGGACCCAGCCGTGCCAGAGCCTCAGGAACAGGAAAGAAAGCCTTCCACCACCCAGTGGAAGAAAAACACCAAACTAGCAAAACCACCGCTAAGTTACCCACTAGTGCTAAAAGAATTCAGAAAGAGCTATCTGAAATAACCCTTTATCCTCCTCCTAACTGCAGTACTGGGCGTAAAGGAGATAACATTTATGAGTGGAGATCAACTATACTTGGTCCACCAGGTTTTGTATATGAAGGTGGTTTATTGTTTTAGGATATCACATTTTCATCCGATTATCCATTTAAACCACCAGAGATACCTTATACGGTATCATGAGGCATTATTCAGATCTGTTGGACAAGTGATGAAAAAGAAGTAAGACTTCTGCTATTATCTTGGTGTTAGGTTACTTCCCGCACCAGAATCTATCACTGCAACAACAGTCAGGGAGTCACCTTCCGGACAACTGGAGTCCTGCTTTGACTATTTCAAAGGTTTTGCTGTCGATTTGTTCTCTTTTGACAGACTGCAACCCTGCAGATCCTCTGGTTGGAAGCAGAGTATTTGACCGCTCAGTATTTGACCAACAGAGCAGAACATGACAGGATAGCCAGACAGAGGACCAGGAGATACGCAGTATAATTCACATAATTTGTATGCAGTGTGAAGGAGCAGAAGGCATCTTCTCACTGTGCTGCAAATCTTTATAGCCTTTACGATACGGATTTTTGTGTATATGTTATGCTGACTCTACTTTCTGCTTTTATCCTTTGGAGACTGGGAGACTCCCAAAAAAGGTAAATGCTATCAAGAGTAGAGCTTTGTAGCTGTAGATTTAGTTGTGTTTAAAACGCCTATTTGCAAATCTTGCTTCTTTGAGATATCAAAATGTACTTTGTGATGTACTGAGGAGAGTGGTCCTGAAATCTACCAAATATTATAGTGCATTTTGGCCTAATTCATTATCTGTATGAAGTTATGAAAGTAGCCGTAGATAACTAGGAATTATGTAATTTGTATTAAACCCAGATCTATTTCTGAGTAGGTGGTTCATGCTACTGTGAAAAATGTTTTACCTTTTACCTTTGTCAGTTTGTAATGGGAGGATTTCCTTTTACCCTTTGTACCTCAGAGAGCACCTGATGTATCATCTCAAACACAATAAACATGCTCCTGAAAAAAAAAAAAACCTTTTCATAAGCTGTCGTCTAAATCCTGACATTCAATATAGACAAAAGAAAACAAATCATTGAAATAAAACTCATTAAAGCAAATTACTTAAATCACAGGAAAATCTCATTGGTCCCTGATGACGACACAATTATCCGTAACACAGAGTTGCATTTGGAAAAACAATTTCTACTTTCTGCCTTTTCTCCTTTTATTAAGCCAAATTTTTCTGTAAACAACTGCTGGTTTGAGAAAGGCTTGAGAAGGATGAAGACACCCTGACTTGGGAAGACACGAAAGGGGCCACCACAAAATGCCTCCTCACCTTCTTTGACACCACCCAGCCCCGCCGCCTTCCTTCCGAGTATCTGTACCTTGTCACGGCCCAAGTTTGGGGAATGCCGCCCCACCCCGCCCCCACAGAATACTGAAACCGTGAGAGCACCTCGGCCGCGGGCTCTGCTTTCCTACCCCGCCCGCCTTTACTGAGGAGGAACAGGATCCCTAGACTAGATCACGCAGGTCTCAGCCCTCCCTGGACCACAACCAAAAACTCAGGGACTGGAGGACGTGGGGTGACGCTGAAAACCATTGGAGGCCTCTCTGGAACCTTGGTGAACCTCCACACAGCGCACGAATCAGTTAACTGGAGGATCTGGGTCCCCTGGGAGGTGGGGAACCCACCTTGGTGCTGTCCCTGGGTTCTTGGTTGGCCTCCCCTCGGGTCCACTTAGGCAAGAGTGAGCCGCCCTGGGGCCAGCTGCGACTCACCCTCGACCAAATCCCTACACGCGCTTGGGGCAGAGTGCCCTGAGGCCCTGCCCACATGCCGGATCAGCCAATCGAAGAGCGGTCCGGCAGTGGGGCGGGGTCGGCAGGACGAATCCTGGGCCTTAAAAGGCGGCCTCGTGCCTCAGCCCTGAGACCCTGCCCCGCACCTGCGCCCAGGTCGGGGAAGGGACCTTGGTCCTGGCCTGGCTTGGCACAGCAGGGCCACCCCAGGAGACCACGCGGCCGCCAGCCTAGGAGGTTGAGGGTGGGGGTACCAAGGGAAGCCGTCCCCAGCCTGGCCACTCCACACACTGCCTTCTGAGTCCTGAAACCTGGTGCTGCATGGCCCGCTGCTCCCTGAGCCGCCGGCATCAGCGTCTGGAAGCAGAGGGTGAGTCCCAGGGCGGGAAGCAGGTGGTAAGTCCCCTGCACATCCCACATCCCCAGCCCAGTGTAAATTCTTGGGAGGATGCGTTAAGTGCTTTTACTCCACCTTAGTGGATCTAACATCTCAGAAGAAAGTACGGTGGCTTGTTAAAAGGATTGCTCTAATTACTATTTTTTTCTGTCCAGGTTTTTGAAACATGCTTCCTAAGGTCCTGCTGACTGTCCTGTGCTTGGGAATAGCTTCACCTGCGCCTCATGTTGATGTTGGTTTGAACGCACTGTGGTCCCAGTGGATGGCAATGCACGGGAAACTATATGATGTGGTTGGTGACTCCTAAAACTGTGCAGAGGGCCCCAGTAGAGAACGGTCAGATGGTGCTGGTGGGAGTTGGAGTGGAGAGTACCTCTCTGTAATCACGGCAGGCTGAGCACAGTAGGGGAGTACATCCCACTGTGTTGACTCTGGAGATCAGCCCCCTGAAGTATAAGATGATCCTGGCCATGGCTTCTCTGTCTGCAACTAACCTGTGGTTCTTGTGAGTTGGTTTTAAATAGGAATAAAGATGATAGGTGATATATTTGCCTCTAGGATGAAGAAATAGGGAGGAGAGCAGTGTGGGAGAAGAATATGAAAATGATTGACAAGCACAATCAAGAATACAACCTAGGGAATCACAGCTTCACAATGGCAATGAATGCCTTTGGAGACTTGGTGAGTGTGGCACGGATTGCTGAGCTGTGGGTGGTGCTTCCTCTCCTAAGTACTTCAACAAGAAATCTCTTGCGTTTCTCACACTCTTTTCCTTTCCAATTCAAGACCAGTGAAGAACTCAGGCAGGTAATGAATGGCTTTCAAAAGCAGAAGTACAGGAAGAAGAAAGTGTTCGAAGAACATCCCCTTGCAGAGATCCCCCCATCTGTGGACTGGAGAGAGAAAGGCTACGTAACTCCTGTGAAGGATCAGGTAGGACAGTACTGAGCAGATCTCTAGAGGTCTGATGATTAAGTCAAATAGGAAATGGCATCCTTACCTTGGTGCACTGTGGAACAGTATGCAGTTCACTAAATTTTTTAAAAAGAGCTTTCTGATAAAAGGGCTGTTGTGAAAGTCTTGTTATTTGTTTTGTAGACTGAGAGCTTTTCCATTTTATATTCAGGGTCCATGTGGTTCTTGTTGGGCTTTTAGTGCAGTTGGCGCCCTTGAAGGACAGATGTTCCGGAAAACTGGCAAACTTGTGTCACTGAGTGAGCAGAACCTGATGGACTGCTCTGAACCTCAAGGCAATGGTGGCTGCAGCGGTGGTGTAATGGATTATGCCTTCCAGTATGTCCTTGACAACAGAGGTCTGGACGCAGCGGAATCCTATCCCTATCATGGAGCGGTAAACTGAGCTCCTTAACTTGTTATCGAAGCTGAATACTTTTGGAGAAAATAGCTACCATATTTAAAATTAATCTTTTAGATAGAAGATTCTGTGTCTGCTATCATTTAACTATCATTAAAATTTGTCTTGTAACTTTCTCTCTTTAGGTGGCTACTAAACAGCTGTCCCTATTTATGTGTTATATAAAGATATACATAGCTTTCTATATATTGTAGTAAATTTCTCCAGAGTGAAAAATTTCTCATGGCTACGACTGTCTTGTTGAATAAGCACATTGTAATTTTTAATTTCAAACAACCCATAGCATTCACCTCCTGGGATGCTTCATAATAAACTTGGCTTGGAAATCATCAACCTGCAGACTGTCTTGCCCTCATGTTCCCTGGGAACTGGGTATCAATAATCAGATTTCTTCCCCTTTATCTTGAAAGGATGAACCCTGCAAATACAAAGCTGAGTATTCTGCTGCCAATGTGACTGGCTTCTATGACATCCCTGCTCAGGAGAAGGATCTTGAGGTCACAGTGGCAAACATGGGGCCAATTTCTGTTGCTATAGATGCAAGCTCATTAACATTCCTATTCTACCAACAAGGTAAGCATTTGTGTATGTAGAAATTTAGGCAGAAAAATTGGAAAACTACCATGCATACAGCAAGATTGACTCCTTGGTATGTGGAATTCAAGGTAAATTTTTTGGGAGTAAGGATTTAACACAGTTATTTACTCTGTACAAGTACTATGCATGACTATATTTTCATTGTCATTACTGGGACCATACCCCTTGATTTTAAGCACTTCAAAAATATATTTAAATGTCTACATAATTTGATTGATATTGTTTAATTAATTTTTCCCCAACTTCTAGAACTTTAAAATTTTCCAAGGAATTTTACTCTTGCAATTAAAACTGGAAAGAACCCCTTGGCTCAAATAATATTGTGTTCTGTGCTGATCTTTGACTAACATCCTGTAAATAGAATGGCACAGTTTTACTAGTGGTCTTTTATGCTCCTTGACAAGTTGTTTACAAAAGAGATCATGGTAATTTCTATTTCTACTACCATTACATAAAGGCCTAAATCCCTGGACTAGATTTTTAAGTCTTGTTTTCAAGTCATATTTGGATTGATTTCCTTTAATGGAATTTTGAGATGCCTTCCTTACTATGGTTGATAGACTGGGTTATAGCCACGTGTCACTTGGAGGTCCTTCTTACAGCACTGAATTTTTATTTCACAGGCATATATTATGATCCAAACTGCAGCAGCCAAAAGCTGGGTCACGCTGTTGTGGTGGTTGGCTATGGCTTTGAAGGAGAAGAATCAGATAACAATAAATATTGGATTATCAAGAACAGGTATAAAATGCCAAAAATTCTACTATTGGAAATTGTAAAGGAACCCTTTTGGAATCAGTGTCAGATATAAGTCCCCAAAGGCTCAAGCACCGTTCTGAGGTCCCGGAAATCTTTACCTGCCTTAGGGTAGACAGAGACATGTTAATGATTGATTATAACATTGAGTACTATTCACAGGCTTGCTAGCATATCGATACAGTTTTGGCACCATTACATTTTCTACATTTGAAAAGTTTCGTGATTCTGAAACACATCTGGCCACAAGGGGCTCCTTTCGATTGCAATTCTATGAAAGGTTTGGTGGATAGAAGATATGTGCAGGTTTAAAACTCAACCGTGAACAGGAACTGAATGATTCTTTCTGAATCTGTCTTGGCCTCTAATGAACTGCTAAGTCTCAGGTATGACTGATAATAAAGATAAATTGCTTGATTCTTTGTAATAAATGGGAACTCCTCTCTTCTTTCAGTTGGGGTACAGACTGGGGCATGAATGGCTACATGAAGATAGCCAAGGACCAGAACAACCACTGTGGAATTGCCTCTGTGGCCAGCTATCCTGTTGTGTGAGATGATGGTGATAATGAAGGACTTGATTGAGAACAGAATATCCCTGGGAGGAATTGTATCTGAAAACTGACCAGACCTTCTTGTGTGGAATAAAACACTTGAATCATTGAAGATTCAATTTGTGATTTGAATTCTGTGACATTTTTATCCTGGAAAATCTGACAATTTCTTTAATTACTGATATAAACAGCTTTGTATGATAAACTTACCTAATAATTTTTAATGGTCTTATTTTAAAAGGATGCAAAAGTCTTTAGCTTTTAAAATAAAACTTAATTTCAAAGTAAAGGTACTGTTTATGCTTTTAAAATATTAATTTTTTGAGAAATCAAAAATTAATTGAGCTCTAAACCCATAATTAAATGTGCCAGAGGTCCATTAGGCAAATGGCTGTATCACCTTTTCCACTTCTGGTTATAATGTGTAGATTGTATGTCAGCTGCCCATTGGCAGAGTCTGCAAAACCCTTGAGTGGAGAAAAATATGAGAGACAATGTATAAAGACAAAGGCAAATTATTTTAATGAGGAGAAAATTCACAATTTAGAAAGGGCACAGATACATAGGATTTCCAAACTAAAAAAGGACCTTAGATCATGATCACTTGACCCAATATAGGTACAATACAGCCTAGTTAGAGAACTAATGCCATAGATCCAGTTTCTGGTACTTCTTCCCAAATCACCAGTGAAAACCACATGGCTACTTCGTAGTCAAGGAAGGACTGGACACAGCAGGTTCACAAGAGCGTTTGTGTTGGGTCCACAAGGGGTGAAGAGTCAGCTCCCAGATGTGAGGCTGGTTTTCAAAATAGAGCTGTGGCCTCAGAGGGGGGTAGATGTGTGAGAGCATCCAAGTGATAGTCTGAGGCCAAATTTATACGCAGCTACCTAAGCTCTCTATTTATTAGAGGAAAAAACCCAAAAACTCCCTACATTCTGCAGGCTAAACAAGCCCGTACTTTTTATTTGTTTTCTGCCTGTTAAAATTCTCATCTCCCAGTCAAGGAGAGTTTAAGAGTAGGTGGAAATATTTAGGTACTGGCCCCTGTAATTCCTTACAAGGCCTTGAGGTGGAGGACCCCTGGCGTCTCATCCACAGGCCCCCAGCAGCTTCTGGTTGAGTTCGTCTTTGCAGGACCCTGTACCCTTCTGAACACTCAACATGACCTACCCTCGTAGGTATTCAAATTTACTTCTTTTTGACTTAACATGCTGAGTGCTCTGATTGGAGTGGAATTATGTGGTTCTGAGACAGTCCTGTCAGGTGGAGCCACAGGAAGATTTGGGAGGATCTGAGCTGAACCCCTTCTGTCTGTGGACTGTGGATTGAAACAGCCAGATTTGATATAGCAGCCACTGCTCTTCAGCCCTCGTAGCTTTGTGAAGAGACCTTCCCGATCTCAAGCAGGAGCTGGTGCTGGAGGAGAGGGAGGTGCTGAGAACAGCAGAGGCTCTGCCTCCCAGTTGCTGAAGCCCACCAGCACAAGGGAAACCAGTGAAAGTTCCCACCTTCCCCAAGCGGGGCCAGAACTTTTTTTTTTTTTTTTCCACATCCGTCCACGTTACAGAAAGTGAGGAAAAAAGGTGATTCCCAGCAAGCAGGGCCCGGACCCCGGCGGAGCCCAGGCGGGCCAAGTCCCGCCCACCACGGCACCCTCCCCGGGAACCTGGAGTGCGTGCGATCCCAGCGGGACTAGGGCCTCCCTTTGCAGGTCTGCGCTGCTTCTCCCCCAAGGCCCACGAGAGTCTATCGGCAGCACATTTCAGCGGTCGCGTCAGACCTTCCAGAACACCTTCTTTCTGTAGAGAATGTAGGCGATGAGCACCCAGAGAGCTGTGGCGACTAATGCTTGGAAATGGAAACAACTGTGCCCCTCCCGAGACACAGACACTTAAACTGGGAGGGCATAGGGGAAGTGAAACTTTGGTTTGACAGGCAGGGACCCAGAATCTCAGCCTGAAGAAGGAGGCACATGAAGGGTGAGCGGGTTTCCCTCTGAATGACCACCACATTCATCTAAGCCTCACCATTGCAGGTGTATTTGCTCAGCTTTGTTCCCAACAGAGCCTTCTCCTCCAGGCTGTGTAGTCTTTAGGCCGCATGCTGTAAACTCACTAAATCAAGGCACTCCTAGGAGATGCCGCAGTGAAGATTTCAGTCTGAGTATTCGATATACAAGTTCCAGGGGAAGTGATTAATAAAGCATTGATGACCCTCTGGTAAGAATTGGAATTTCCCAAACAGGAAAAATACGTTTGTTCCTTTTTGGGAGAGTGCAAATTTGTTACTATGTATTAAAATGTTGCTGCTCCAAACACTGCTGCCATGCCATGTGGACTAAGAACAATATTGAGCCCTGACCTGCACCCAAGTCGAAACCTGCCTTTGGCTTGTGTGAACCACGTGCCCAAAGCTGCGGTGGAAAGGAGAGCCCGGCCTCCTCCCCGCTTCTCCCGGCCCCGCCTCCTCCGCGCTTCTCCCGGTCCCGCCTCCTCCGCGCTTCTCCCGGCCCCGCCTCCGCCGCGCTTCTCCCGGCCCCGCCTCCTCCGCGCTTCTCCCGGTCCCGCCTCCTCCGCGCTTCTCCCGGCCCCGCCTCCTCCGCGCTTCTCCCGGCCCCGCCTCCTCCGCGCTTCTCCCGGTCCCGCCTCCTCCGCGCTTCTCCCGGCCCCGCCTCCTCCGCGCTTCTCCCGGTCCCGCCTCCTCCGCGCTTCTCCCAGACCCGCCCCGCCCCCCTGCCTTCGCTTCCGTCTAATGCGTCACTCTGGCGGATTTTCTGATGCTGAACCATTCTCGGTTTTGGGGTTAAGCCTGACTTTGCCCCAGTGCATTTGCTTTAAATACTACTGGGTTTGATTTGACAATATTTCATTAAGGACTTTTGGCCTCTAGATCCATATACACATATAGCAATTTGCACCCCTATCCAAACATTGACATGATTTAATAAAATGAAGAGTCATTTAACCAGTATACTATGGTACGACCCTAAAATAGATTAAAACATTTCCCACCAAAAAATAAAATGTGAAGTTAAGAGGTTGAGAAAAGTATTTATAAATTTTTAAATATATACCCCATTTGTTATATGGCTTTGTCAGTAGGTGACCACATTTTTTCCATTTAAACAGTTGCTCCCCAAAGAGGATCAATCCAAAATATTGGAACTTGTAAGCCATGAAATTTCTAACTCAGAAACATACAAAATGAAACAAAAAGTCTTCTAAGAAATTGTCAGGTATTTAAATATATGAATAAATATGAATATATGAATGTATGTTTAAATATATCTTTAAATTTATATTTACATTTTTAATATATGTATAGATACATTTATATGTATATAAACATACAAATATATATATTAAATGTATGTATCTCTTTCTCAAGAAAGGAAATACACCACATGATAAGACACTATGTTCAAATTTTAAGGCAACCCAGACAAATACTTAATATCTGGGCTTTTTGCCCACCAGCAGATAGATGCTGATTACTGGGGCTCCCAGACTTAGAATTACTGTTTGCACTATTCATGACAGAAGACAAATCAAAGTTATTCTTTCACACATGGATTTTATTTTCAGCCTTCCACCCTGACCAGATCCTCTCCCCTACTGACCCCAAGTAATCTGCTGCAAGCCCTGGGAGTGACTGGGTGGGTTTGCCTTTAATACTCAGCACCTCTGTCTCCACTCCCCCTTCTCCCAGGAACCTGAACAGAAGGTACAAGGCAAAAAGAGGGTGTCTTGCGGAACGCACTCACTACCTGCCTGCCTGGTTGCTCTGTACACAGGTGAGATAGTCCTGCACATCATCTGGGGACCCCAGCACCAGGGGATGTGCTGGTGGGGGGCCTCAGGCCTCGCATCCAGCATGGGCTGGTGACAGTGGTCACCAGGCCTCCTGCCTGCTTGACAATGATGGCCACAGGATCGCACAGGTACAGGTGCCAGATCTGTGGGGAAACAGAGGCAGGTGCACAAGTGGAGCAGGGGGCCAAAGACCAGAGTCATGGCCTGAATCTGGCTGAGAAATTTCACCTGATGAGCTTCTGTCCCTCCTGTCAGCATGAGGAGAGGAGGCCCACGCTCCTCAGCAGAGTGGCCTGCAAGATCAGGAGCCTCAGGAGGCTGGGTGCCCTGGCCCATGAACATCACTGTGCTAGAGGAGCACTTCTGGTCAGAATCCACCTGTCTCGGGGCCTCTGTGCTCAGGGAGGGACCTGCCTCTCACTTCAGAGCAGGACACTGGGGCACACATTTCCCACTGGCTCAGCCACGAGGCCTGGTTAGGAGCTGCTGGATGGGAGGCATTATGGCTGATGAGGAGGCAGCTTTACCAGGACTGGAAGGATCTCCTCAGAGTTCTTGAGGTCTCTAAGGAGCACTTCCATGTCTGGGATTGTGGTGAGAACCTCCACACCTCCTGGGTAGACTGGGCAACTGGCTTTCTGATATTTCAATGGCCTTTGCTCTTGGCCTTTGCTCTTTCCCTTTGACAGAGGAAGTACCCTGTGGTGTGCACACCCATGGTGTTCTGCGTGTCCCCGTTCATAACAGCCATGACACTGAGGATCCTGTATCATCTGCCTTCCTCCTTAGACTCCTCTCATCAGGGCGGGGACAGTGTCTATCTTGGTTGATCAAGGCAGCATCTCCATCCCAGCACTGCCTGACCCAGGGAGAGTGTCCAGGCAAGGCTACTGAAAAGCCAGCACATGGGCTCCCACTTCGGGGTAGGAAGGGGCATTACAGGCAGCCGGCACCCTGCTTGACAAGCTGTGCACAAGAGCCAGCGTGGAGCATGTTCTGAGGAAGGATCACCTTTTTTCAAAGCACCAGGAGAACTGTCAGGTGTCTGCCCTGCATTCAGAAAGTACATAGGAACTGAATTGAAATGGGTGGGACTGAATGTCCTTTGTGGGTCTGTTTCCATGATTAAGTGTGACTCCCCCCACACACTGTGGGCACACATACATCACATTATGTACATGGTGGCATTCCAGCTGCATGGCTGACTCTGTGTCATACTATCTGCTCCTTTCTTACATCACTGTGCAAAAT